ATTTTAATATTTTAGAAAAATATTAACCTATTGCTCCAAACGATGCATACTTTTATATTGAATTAATATATTAAAAAAATAATCACTTATTCTGGTACAAAGCACAGTTCCTCTCCAAAAGGTAGTAATATATATTTTTTCATTCAGTCGTAGAGTTTGTATGCACCTCTGTACTATTGAATCATGATTATTTTATATATGCATATCTATTTGCATAAGTTAAAATTCTTTGAAATCATTATGTTGGTGTAAATTACTTAATATCTTATGCACGCATCTGTTTGATAAATGAAATTAAATCATCACAGTAACATGATTATATTAACGAAAAAAATACTCTTCTTTTTAATTCTTTTTTTTCTCGTTTATTGTTCGATTAATAATCATGTTCTTATTCTTTTCAATATGGGTATAGTTTATAAATTTAGTAATCATCTATCTGTCTATTATAAAATATTATTGTTTTTAAAGTAACATATTATTATTAATATTTTAGTTAGATTTATTTGCTCCCAAAGAGCATAATTAAGTAAAATACAACATAAATTATATTTTTGCCTTTGAAAAAGTAAATCTTTACATAATTTATTTTTAAATAATAATATATTATTGCTTCTGAATAGCATGACATCAAAATCCTAGTATTCAAAAGAGCATTTATATATTGCTTTTTAAAAAGGAATAATAAAATACAAAGTGCTCTCATGTAGCATATATTTCAAAAATATATATAATATGTGTAATTTATGAATTTGTGTTTATCTCTGAAAAAATATACAACTCATATAATGTGGACATTGATTTTTATATGATTAAATCATAGTTAATCACATTTTCAAGAATTTAATATCTTTTGTTTGATTGGATAATTCAAATGACAAACATTATATTGAACCAGAAGTTTAATTACTAAATGTATTATAGTTTAGCATGACCAGTTGTACTATCACTGAATCAATAATGATACGAAATTAAGAATTCAAATGGATATTTAACGAAAGACTTGAAGATTCTTCACTCCAATAAATTCCTATATAATACTTGTTCTCTATTATTGAACATTAACTATCACTACCTAAATATGGACTAAAATTTTCATATTTCTAAAAATTAATGAGGTTGATATATGAAATCCCATCACCCTTTACATTGACCATCTAGATATTATTTGTATCTAAAAAATTTGATACATTTACTAAATGATTATATAGTGTTTGGAACATGAAGTTTAAGAAATTACTACTCAAAAGTTAAATTATGAACATAATTTCTTGATTATACAATTAAAATGGTGGGTCTTGTAAATGGTAGTGAGCTTAAACCTCAATATTTTAATAAGTATTAGTTGGGATTTCAATAAATGATTTAAAA